GGCTGCAGAAGCAAAACATGATCCCAAATGCTCCAGGCATGCCACAGGCTCCCATGAATCAAGGGCCCAGCATGGGACAGCCGCAGCCAGGGATGTCTGCAAGTAAGAACAGCTGGGTTACTGACTACCTGGCACAGGGGAATTCTGTCCAGTCATTTTGGTAGGCTAGTGGCCATTTTGCCTTTTTTATTTCACAGGTACCTGGCTTGCTCAAGTTAAACAGAACTTTCTCCTCTTTGTTCAGAAATATTTGCTAAATCTGTGCTTTGCTTATGTGTTAACTTATGACACATAATTAGTGATTATCTAAAATAACACATAATTATTATCTAAAAGCATTTAGTCTTCTGAACAAATTGAAATATTGTGAACCTTTACATTTTGAGGGTGAAGGGAATGGCAATTAAGTTGCATCCATAATATTGCAGAACTTCAGTCTCGTTAGATTCATCCCTAGAATTAATTGATTTGAAGATAACTTCAGTTACTATAAGAGAAATATATTTTCATAATATTTAGTTGTGTGATGTTCAAAACAATCATCACTATTACTATGGTTGCTAAGCAGAGTATGATGATTGGAGTGCTTAGGTATTTATGCCTTTGAAAGTTTAGATAGTGCTTATTCTTTGCCACGTTTGTTTTTTCAGACAAATGGCCTTTCCAGCCTGCAGTGAAAAGCATATTTCACTTTTTTCCCCATGCAGCTGTCTTCTATTTCACAGGAGTTCTGTTACTTGAATTGACCTTCCTAATGCTAAACATGATTGTGGTGGTGATGATGATGATTATTATATTCCCTGCTACCCATGCATTTGTATAGTAGAATAAAATTGACTTTGGAGAGGAGTTAATGATCAAAACTGTCATGCTGCTAAAGAGTGTAGTGTATCTTTACAGCGTTTTGAAGGGACAAGTTGCTGTAGGTCATGAGGTGTCTAGTTTATTTTTATTTGGGTAACAGAAAAAAACAGATACCACAAATTATTGTGGGTGATATTTCTAGTTAGAAAGTGGAAAGAGGCATCTGCTGACATTGTGATCTTGTATTTCCAGCTAAGTCCTTTAAATATTGTAATACAGGATTTTAAACTGCATTTTTAAATAAGGTTGCATCCCATACTCTGATTTAACCGTAAAAGAGAACTAATATATTTTTAGCTGTTTGAACCACAGTCTGCTTTAAGTTTTGTTTTGGTTTTTTTTTTATTATTCTGGACTGACAGCTCTGAAGGCTGAAGTAGTCTTTCTTAAAGCTAAGTGTAACAGTTCTGCAGACATACTTTCTATATCACTGGGTCTTTTTATGCTTAGAGTCAGAACAGGATTTACCAAGATCCAGGAAAGATTTTTAAAGGTTGATGCTGTAACTTCGTTTGCTTAGACTTTTGTAGAAGGTTGATCTTTGTCAGTAGAAGCTTTTGGTTATTTATCATGTATTCCGGTAGCTCTCAGACTTCAGAGCTTTGATAAATACTCTGTTGAACTGTATAGTCTTAATAGTGTTTTAAGTCTAGAGGTGCAGTAACAGTGTAGAGTGATCTGTAGAAGTTCTTGTGGTCTGGAATGTTTGTGAGCTGCTGAGTTTGTCATTGTGCCTTGATAACATACTTCAAATTTATCATAAATTTCTGAAAACTGACTCTAAGTTAGGGTATATTTCTGTCAATGGGACATGTTTATATTTTCAAAGAAGTTTTTGGGTTTGCTTCACACTTTTAGGACTCTTCAAGAGTGTTTAGAGTTACTCGACTGTCTGTGCATCTTTTTTTTTTTTTTAACATATGGGTCTTAGTGTGTAATTTTCACTAAAATGTTTGGTGGATAAAACCTGGTGGTCTTCTAAATGCCATAATGTTATTCCAATATCTTTTTTCCAGATGGTCCTCTTCCCGACCCAACCCTGATACGTGCCAACGTGCCGAACCAGATGATGAATCGCATGCAGGCACAGCCAGGTAAATATTTGAAGAAAATTTGCTACTGTGATTTTGAAGGAAT